AAGATAACTCCTTTCGATCATTCGATGTTTTGTCTGAGAACATTAAGAGAAATCAAGCTCTTACGATACTTCAATCATGAAAACGTTAGTATCCATAAGATCATGCAGTTGACACATTGGTTTCCATCAATATTTTCACCAATTAAAATTCAAAATTACATTTCTACAGATTATCGCAATCCTAGATATCGTCAAGCCCGAAAACTTGGAGAAGTTCACCGAAGTGTACAGAAAAACAAATTTATTTATAAAAGAAAGAAAAAAAAAAGTCACAAAATATAAAATTTAATAAACTAAAAAAAAAAAAAAAAAAAAGCTTTTATTTGCCTAAAATAAACTTGAGTCTCATTGATTAAAAATCTACTAGTTATCTTATTCAAGAACTTATGGAAACTGACATGCATCGTGTCATTCGCACTCAAGATTTGAGCGACGATCATTGTCAATATTTCATCTATCAAACCTTGCGTGCTCTTAAAGCTTTGCATTCGGCGAACGTTCTTCACCGAGATCTTAAACCTAGCAATTTGTTACTCAACGCGAATTGCGATTTGAAGGTGAGCTTATTGACCTTTTCTACGTAAGTGTCGAGTATCTCCGGGTTCACATGTTCTTATAAATAGGTCTGTGATTTTGGACTTGCCAGAAGTGCAAACTCCAGTGATGAACATAGCGGCTTCATGACAGAATATGTTGCCACTCGTTGGTATCGTGCCCCTGAAATTATGTTAACATTCAAAGAATACACCAAGGCCATTGACGTGTGGTCGGTTGGGTGTATCTTGGCTGAAATGTTAAACGGAAAACCACTATTCCCCGGAAGAGATTGTATCCTCTTGTTATAAATCCAAATTATCATTATTATCACGCATTCTACTTTATTCTTTGACTTTTTGTCGTCCTTTTCCTGTGTCAAAAAGATCATCATCAATTGACATTAATTCTCGACGTCCTTGGTACACCGACCATGGAGGATTTCTATGACATCAAGAGTCGAAAGGTAAAAATGTTTCTTTTGACGGCCACATG